GATGCCTGCAGGATGTTCTAAATCAAGTTGACACACCAGTCCTAACATATAGCGGACTTGTTCATTGCTTGACAAAGACCAAAGCAGATGTTCAAAACATATACAGCAACTTTCTACAGCCCTGAATGGACAAAGAAGAAACCTGTTTGTTAAAATGAGTGCATTTGATAGATGACTTCAAAATTGTGTGACAACAAGAGAAACCACCTGAAAAGATTAAACAGAAGAAAGGAGAGATTGAAAGTATAAATGTTAATTCATGTTGATGATATTCAATATTTTTTAGGCAAGATTCAAAGATTAGAAGGAAGTCATAATGATTACTTGATTCATAGCAATATATGCATGCCCTATATGTATAAACACTCAACGACCAGCTACAAGATCTGGAACTTCTTCAAACGGCAACTTCATAGGGAGGAAGCACACACAATGAGTCAGGTAAACCTAGCAACTATATCAGAATTTTATCCAAGGACTAACCCTGGGCCTAAGAAGAATGACTATCAGACCATCAGTGTTCTCTCCGGACCACATATCACCAACCAAGAATGATATTTGACTTAACACTGTTTAATCCTGTCCTCCCTTTCTTTCTCCATCCATGTACTTACTAATTCAAGTCAATGGCCAGAGCAATCTAAGTATCTAACTGCATTATATTAACATTGATTATTATATTATATCAACACATGGCTATGGGAGATCATTTCCAGTATCAAACCAAGTTAGACAATTCTTTCACAAGGGTAAGCTACCACTGCATTCGTTTGAAATGCAGGAGAAGAATCAAGAAAACACAGTTGTACCTTGTAGAATATGGCATCAGCAGCAAAAAGAAGAGAACAAAAGAAAAAAAAATCTAATCACAACATAGAAAAAACATCAAAAACGTTTTTTTTCTTTTAATTATAGTTTAGTGACTTAGACAAGCATACATAATTGGGGAAAAGAATATGTTTCCTAGAATACCTTAATTATCTAAGGAAAATCATTTATGGAGAGCATTCTGGAGTAAAAATGAAACAGAATCAGTCATTGAAACTCTTTGTCAGCCTCAACATTTTCATTCTAAAACCTAAGATTGATTTAACCCAAGAACAATAGTCAAGAGTATAAAAATTGATAAATTCAATCAAGGATATGAACGGTTATGCTTCAAATTGAACCTCACAGAAGAGGGATTCCAAGTATATTAAAATAAAGAAGACACAAATAATTCCATAACAGGTAAAAATTATTGTTGCTGTTAGTTTTCATGCATCTTGGTCAAGCCTCATTGTAACTGAAAAATGGAGCACTCAAATAAGAGCCTTCCCAAAGATAACCCTCTATGGCATGAAAAATATTTATAAACCCTCTATGGCATGAAATATATTTATAACCACCTCGGCACCTCCACATTTACTGATAGATGTTAAACCCGAGTTAAATAAAACCAGCACCCCATTTACTGATAGATGTTAAACCCGAGTTAAATAAAACCAGCACCCTATTCAGTTTGGTTAAATCATTAGAGATTCAATAAACAAGATCTTTAGATTCCACCACATAACGCTAGAAAACATTACAAGCATGTTAATTTCCCAAATAGATAACTTTACAATAAGGTTAAATATAAAAATGACTTCTGAATTGTACATTTTCTATCAGTTTGATACCTAAAAAACATAAAATTGTCAGTTTAGTATTCCAATTTTTATTCTATAAATCACTTTAGTATCTAAGAGTAACATCATCAGTCAATTTGCTGAGGTGACATAAATATCCAATAAAATGTTGACACGTATCAAAAAAGTCCAATAAGTACCACATCATCAATTGCCACATCAGCATTAAAAACAAAAATTCTAAAAAGTTTTAAAAAAATCTGAATATTTTAAAAAAATTTTAAAAAATTATAAAAACTTTAAAAATTCAAAAAAAAAATCTCAAAATTTTAATAAAAAAATCCCAAAAATTTCAAAAAAAATTTTGAAACATTTGAAAAAATGAAACTTTTAATAAAAATAAAATTTTGTTCAAATTGAAAAAATTCACAAAAACTTTTAAAAAATTTAAATAAAAAATCTAAATTTTTTTTTAAAAGTCTAAAAATTCTAAATAATTGTAAAAAAATATATATTTATGAAATTTTTTCATTTTTTTAATATTACAAATTTAATTTTTTATATATGTTATGAATTTTTTAGATTTTTTGAAATCTTATTGGATTTTTTACTAAAAATTTAATTTTTTAATTTTTTACTTTTCCAAAATTTTGTAAATTTTTTAGAATATTTAAAATTTATCAAATTTTTTAATTTTTAAGAATTTCTTTTATAAATTTTCATTTTTTTAAAAAAAAATTAGATTATTTATTTTCAATTTTTTAAGTTTTTGCAAATCTTTTATTTCAATTTTAAGAAAATTTTGTTTTTATTAATTTTTTTTATTTTTTTAGATTTTTTATTAAAATTTTGCTTTTTTTGAATTTTTTTAGTTTCCATATATATATTAATTTTTATAATTTTAGAAATATTTAATATATTTTTTAATTTTTTTAATTTTTAAAAATATTGTAGATTTTTTTAAATTTTTTTTTTAATTTAAAAAAAATTTTTGAATTTTTTATTTAATGCTGATGTGATGCTAATTGAACTTTTGACACGTGTCAATATTTCATTTGATGTTTATGCCACGTCGAACTAATGGCATTAATCCAAAACACCAAAGTGATAATGGAATGTAAGTTTACGTATCAAACCGTTAATTTTATTTTTTTAGGTACTAAATTAACAGAAAATATATAGTTAGAAGCTATTTTTATATTTAATACTTTACAATAAGCTTCATCTTCCAAATATTGCCTAATCTACCCACCTCAATTCATTCTCCATCGAACCCTGTTTACAGTTTTCAGAGAATTTTTCTATATCCTTATCTCATAGTATCTTGTCTACAAAAATGATGATAAGAAAGCTATAGTCCCAGCATTGTAGCCAGTAGAAACTAATACATCTACAATCTACAGGGGGAGGAAGATAACATGTTCCAAATTTAAATGTCTCACTTTAACAAAATGACTCAATGCGAGACGAGAAGGAATGTAATAAGACAGAGAAACTTATGCCTTCCATGTGGAAAATGGCCAACGAAGCCAGTCACTAATCTCATACCAGTAGGTAAAGTCTGACACATAGAGCGTGCAACTTGACCTAACTTATCCCTTGACCTAACTTATCCTTTACACTCTGCGGAGAAACAAAATAGCTACAGTTACTAGGAAATTCGAAATTTAGGTAAAATTAAAAGGCACCATATATCGTATCATAATAAGGTTCAGCATTTGCATCTTGCTGAAAACAAATAGCTCGAATGAATTAGAAAATAGAGGAGCATGACTACCTCAAATTCTGCATTGCTGACTTTCTTGTAGGGAAGCTTAAACTCAGACATCAAAGCCCTCTATAACAACACCATACAAGCAATCAGCATGAACTTAATAAACCAGAAAACCAAACACTGAAAAAGAATGAACATATGCTACCTGTGCCTCAGAGCTTTCAAAGCAAAAACGGTAGCGAAAAAGGGCAGTCTCCATGGACAGAAACCACTTTCTTAGCTCCTCACTAGCCATAGCAAGAAAAAAGAAAAATAATGATGATTATTGTTATTAATCAATTAAAAAAAGAAGAAAAGAAGACAAGATGAATAACATCAAGAATATCACGAGTTCTACAATACACAAGACGAAGAACAAAGGATGATATCATATCCTTGTTTACATCCTCTGTTGTCTGCGGATGTCTCATATTTGTTTTCCAAAGATCCATTGCCTGAGCCAATTCAGTATGTGAATTTGGAAAGTGAAAACAATTAGACTATTTTGGTTGGGTTTTTTTATTCTTGCTTTTTTTCCCTGTTTTGTTTTCAGTTTATTTTTTATTTTTGCTTTTTCTCCTTGTATTAGAATAAAAATAAAAAGCAAAGTACCAATCAAAACAGGCCTTAATTTGTTAAAAAAAATGTAAAGAAAAAGTCAATAGTTTTACCAATTTTTCCATTTCTTCAGGTTTCTTTCCACGAGATAATCCATCGGAGATACCTTTTAGAACTGCATCCATCAATTAAAAGAATCAGATACTACAAAAACTTAAATAAGAGACTTTCATAGAGCTAAACTTTTTAAATGTTAATCATGCAATTTAACTATATTTTGTGAAGCTCCTAATGGAAATAACTAAACTGGTGCTCTAAACCCCAACTCTAAAGTTCTCACTCCTGGAGAAATTAATCGTTACAAAACCCTCACAAAACTGAAATCTCATACGTTCTATTCCACTTCTTTAGTAGCGTTTCGTCAGTCGTCAGTATCCAATCAGTGAGTCAAAAAAACTAAATCCTCCCAAAAAAAATGTTCGTAGGAGGGTTTTTTTTCTTGACGGACTAAAGCTGTAGAAATAATAGCAGAGGACATTAGTGTACCTCGAAGAAGATCCATGGCAAAGAGCTCGAAATCTTAAAGACGGACTTCGAGGGGAGGGGCAATCTGTAGAGAGGAAGAGTCGAAACGATGACATCGTTGGAACTGGATTTCCTATGAGATTGAACTACTTCCATTTTCCTTTTTGCGGTTTCTTTCTGTGTGTAATTCCGATTACCGAGCCGACAAGCGGCGGGTTTTGTTTTTCTTTTGTTTCCCAGGGAGAAAAAAAAAAAAAAAAAAAAAAAAAGAAAAGGCCACCGTCGGGCTTATGGGAAAAGAGCGCCGTAAGGTTGGGAGCTGATGGGAAATTGGCGGGAAATGGACCACCTTAACCTGCTTGGCTGATGACGCGCTTCCAACTCGGTAGTATATTTCACAAAAATATAAAAATGCCAATGCCAACTTCAAGAGGATAATCATGAGAAAAAGGATTTAGTTGAAACAATTCAAAATAAGGACAAAATATTTAGGATGAATTATACCACTAACAACTTAAAACAATATATTCCGACCAAAAAAATGAAACACTATGTAAACGTGAACTAATGCTCCACTGAAATTGACCAATTTATCTCAAAGAGCCTGTATCATAGAGGGCAAAACTTAAGGTTTAATGACAGAGAATTTGCTTTTATTGTTGGTGAAGAAAAGACCAGATTATGGGATAATCTAATAGACTCGCTCAATGATCTCTTTCCCACTTGCTCCCCTTCCGGAACCTACTATTCATACTTATCAATAAGATAAACAAAAAGAAAAAAAAAGAACTTCTAACAGCCAGCATTCACCACCTAACAAGAATGATATTAGTATATCACCCCATTAATTATACAAACATCTTCTCTACAAAATTCAGCACCCACTCCAACTTAACTTTTGGCTTAGGCACTACTGGAGGGAATAAGGAGCCTAAGACACCCATAAAACCTGAGAAAGTCGTAATCAAGCAGAAATTTAAATACTACTTTTCAACATAAGATCTTCACGATTGTTGTCTACTTGATCGTATCTGTTGTGGCACGGCATTTGTTGCACTTCGTGTTCTCGTGAGAAAAGAACCATTCCCACCTGAAAACATCATCCCAAAGAAACCAGAGCTTGAAGACCCATTAGTTTTGTCTCCTGAAGTGCCATTCCCATTGGCAACATCATGGTTACTTGATTCACCTACTTCCTGAAACCAGATATGTAACAATTGAGACCCAAAAGGATGCATTTGAAAAAATAACAGGAGAAACCACTTGTTAGAGAGAGAGAGGAAACAAAAAGGTTAACCTTAAGGCCTGTGGCAGAGACAGCATTTCTTGGAGATCTCTTAACCTGCCAGAAGTCAAATCAGAGAGCAAAGGGTTTACTAAAGGGGACAAACGATTGTTTTAGACCAAGCATTTGGACAGAATCCATGATTTAGTTATTTATGCTGGTCCTGATGACCAATTTGGCTTAACAAAGATATCTCTTAAGATAATTAAAAAAAATCCTGTGGAACCAAATTTCTCCATGCATGTAAGATAAACCCAACAAAAATCATTAACAATCCCACATCCTTTCTTTTACCACCTTTTCCAGAACTACTTCAGTACTTTTCTGTTCTTTTAATTCTAATTCAGGACTCTGTAAAGTCAACTAACCTTATAAGTTCCATTGGAAGGAGACGGTGATTCAACTGATAAAATGGGAGGCAAAGACCCACTCTGCATGAACACAAAGAAACGACTTGTCAAAAAGCATTACAGGCAGTTTCCACCACTTGCTTATTACTTCAGCTTATGGAATCACGAACTAAAATTTAACATCATTCAAATAAATTGGACAGGGAAAATAAGCAATGCATTGCATCCAATATCAAATATCCATGTCTGATTTCCCAGTCTCAGCAGAAATAAAAGGACTGTGAGCCTGAGATTGACTGACGTATATTTGGTTAACGGAATTGAAATTAAGACTCCATTTGGTAGATGCTATTGCTTTTTAAGTTGTTTGCAAAAAGGTTAATGTCATATTTGGCCCCTACAGTTTACAAACTTTTCCAATGTAGTACCCCTACTTTTAAAATGTGTAATATGGTACAAGTCCTATTATTCCATGTGATAATCTGATATCTGGGGTTAACATTGTTAACTTAAGATGATGACGTGAGACATGGCAAATAATGTCACATCATCATGCCACTTAACATACACATAGATACTACATGTCATATTTAGAGGCAGATTCCAGCCTGTTCAATCCAATTTCCCCTGGTTCCAGCCATTTCCGGCCTACCGGCATCAAATCCAGCCTCATCTGGCTTGATCCAGTTGGTGATTGGCCAGAATCGATAAGTGGGAATGAGATCAGGAGAGAAGGGAGTGGAGGAAAGGGAGAGAAAGGAAGAAAAAAAAAAAAGAAACAAAAAATCTTTTTAAAAAAAAAAAAATTATTTTTTATTTTTAATGACATCTAACATCCACGAGAGTGCCACGTCAGTGACACGTGTAGATTTCAATATGATTCCCACTGATGACATGGCATGATGGTGTGGCATTATTTGCCACGTGTCAAAGTGTGATTGGTTAAATGTCACGTTACCATCCTAAGTTAACAGTATTGACTGTAGGATACCAGATTATCACATGGAATGATTGTACATGCATTGCATTACACATTTTAAAAGTACAAATACCACATTGAAAAATTTTGTAAAGTACATGGGTCAAATATGACAATAAAGAACAAATAGCTAAAAACAAAAGGCAAGAGCATCTACTAAAAGGAGATAACAGAAATTTTTTAAAAGGTCCGAAGGCACCAGTCTCGAAATTCTACCCTTAGAATGAATGTTCCACATAGTCCAAGAATTTCATTATTTAATCAAGTAATCATTCATTAGACCATGCATTAAAGAGAAAAAGAATCTGACCCTTGATGGTGTTTTCGTTGGTGCTTCAAGAGCTGGCGTGGAGGAACTAGCTTGTGAAGCCTGCAAGATTGAAATAACAATCAGCATGATGAAACATAAGCATAGGAAACAAGTTGAAAGCAAACACATAAAATATGTGGCTCTAAAAATACAACTGTAAAACAATGATTCTGATCAACAGTGATCCAAAAGAAGAATAATCGTCTGTTCTCAAGGTTTGGCTTCATGTTAAGTACCACAATAAATTGATAAGTATAATGAAATCTTGACAAATAGACACCAATGAAATAAAGAAACAGATATGCTGGAAAGCATATAGTTCATTGCAGATAAATAAAATAAAGGAAACACACCTGAATACGATTGGTGGATCTATTCTGTTCAATGGTCTGGGTGTAATCACACAACCAGTTTACTCCTTCGTTTGTAATATCCTACGTAGATGATAGAAAACCATACAAATTAACAAAAGCAATAAAAGAAATCACATTAATATTGCACCGTATATTTTTTATGTTAATATAAGAATTACCTGCTTCCCTTCTATTCTGTTAATCTTACTTTCCTGAGACAAGAACCCCCCCCCCACCCCCCCCAAAAGAGAGAGAGAGAGATGGTAGTCTTAGTTTCACATCCAGGGTATAAGATAACCACATCACAGAAAAATATAGTAAAATCAAGTCTTCAAAAATGTTTACCAGAGTTTGAACTACATAACGAACAGATTGAACATTGTTGTTGAGCATCTTTGATTTATCTTGTAGCAGAGAAACCTATACAACTCAATCAATTTTCAGTGAATAACAATGAAACCTCCTTTAAGCTACTATTACAATCTTATATCTCACCTCATCTTGTGTAGTAGCAGTCATATCCGCAATTTCATCCAGATGATTATCCACACCCTCAATTCTTGAGGATAGATGTCGTTTGGTAGCCTAGAAGTGAACAAGACAAAATTAATAAGGAAGAGGGACAAAGGAGAATTCAGCCAATTCACTAGGTAAAACACTGACATAAAGTATGGAATCTGAAAACATGTAACTCGTTACTTGAAACCTTCATATAGTGTGGCCATTCAGGGATTTAGGAAATCTATCACATCATATAAATTAACGAATAAATTTAAACAAGAAAAAGTTATGCCAGTAAAAGAGACTTGCCGAGATTGATGAGTAAACACTCTCAAGCTGCTTGGCTATGGCATCACGTGCATCGGATAAACTACGCCTCGTTGCAAACATCATATCAGGAAGTCTCCAACCCTGAAACAATTTAAGGAATATAAGATTTATACTCTAGCTAAGAGTAAAGAAACATTTTTGAAGCAAAAAATATACAATAAATAGCATAGAGCAGCAATTACAGTTTCTGTCTATATATATATATATATATATAATTACAGTTTCTGTCTATATATATATATATATATATAATTACAATTTACTAATAACTAACTGAAATAACACAAAATTAAAATTCTAAACCATGTGTTTGAATATTTATCTACCAAGTACTTCCGATACTTTTCTAGAAAATATTTTACATTCTTATAGTGCAAAACTTCACTGACAAAGAATAACCATCATTCCATCAGCTTCAATTGCTGAGTCTGGTCATCCATCACTTTTAATAAATTTCTTACCAGTTGCTCAAATATCCAAGACTTAAGTTTCCACAAGATCCATACCACATCCATGTGAAAAAAAAATGGCTCATCAATTTTAACTCTTAACAAAATTCTTCATTTGAGAAAAAGTAGGGATTAATGAGAAAAATCAATGAACTATATAAGTGCATAAGAAAAATGAAAACAAGCCAACTGAAACCATAAAACAGGATTGTGCCTTAGATGAAAGAAGAGCAAGCCAGTAAAGTACTGGCCATCTTGTACTTTGCAAAACTATCTACCATGGCCAGAGAAAAAAAAAAAAAAAAAAGCAAATGGTGCTGGAAATTTTCACGTGGCACAATTATCAGAGAATTCAAGCATCTTATTAGTTGCTCATATTGAACCTACACACAGTAATACACTCAAAGGAATAAAATATCATTACCTTCCACCAAACATAGCCATATCCAACTACTACAACAACAATGATTATGCCGTATTTACTAGTACCTGCATGTGACAAAAACATTCCCCCAAAATAATGCTCAGGAACTGTATAGAGTTGAATTTAATTGATCTGTATTGGAAGTTATCATATCTCCGAAAAAATGAAGAATAATAAGAAAATAAGTATTAAAAAAAAGTGTCATAAGCTAATTAAGAAAAAGGATCCTCATTATTTGCTCATTGATATGGATCCATAATAGTTGTGCATATTGCAAAAAAGGATGAGAAGAAAATACAAATTGGCATAATTTTGTCAAAAATTCTAGATAGAATGTGTGCCATTTAGAGCAAGATGAACGACATCAATATTTTTCCCTGCAAATATCAAACCTGTTCCACGTCCAGTTACAATTGTAATTGGTCTGTTTGATGCCAAGATTTGCAGTTCCTGCCTTAGGCTGTTAACCTGAAAAAGTAAACAAGTTCGAACAAGATATAATTATATAAATTTAAATATACAAGCAAGTATTAGGATAATAGGGTGCCATCCGCACTGAAACGATAAGCACAAAGAATTAATAACAAAAGGTTCATGAATACTTAATGTTAACAATAATATATTGCTCAAAAAAGTAACAGAAGCATGAAAATACATAGGATAATCAATAATGCACATAAACTTAATCTTCCAAATTGCCAGATCACATGCTAACAGTTTTTCAGCTTTTAAGTGAATATAAAAATTTATAGCCTAATAACACTGACATGCAGCTACCCACTTCCTACTCACCACTATATAGAAATGTCATAAGAAATTAATCCTCAAGCAAATGCAACCTACTGTCATGACTAAAAAAAGAGGTAAATTATTATTTACAATCATCAACACCACCAGGAGATCACATATATATTTTCAATCATCAAATATTTAGTCAAGGGTCTATCCATAAAAGAAAAACAAGATGAAGAGAGAATTTAATAAAGAGCATTTCCATCCTTTTTCAATTGGCATTTCAATTTTCACCCATAACAATCAAACAAGCAGAAATAGTTCCAAATATCAGAAACAATTGCCAATATTCCAGATAATTAGATTATTATTCAGCACATAATGGACATAGATGATCAAATACAAACCTGAGCCATCAAATAGTCATTACGTGGCTTGTTTACTGATGGAGTAGAATCATCATGTTTAAGTTGCCGAAAAGCAAACTACAGCAGGAGACAAATTATTACTAAGTCAGCAAGAAAGTAAATGCACCATCATCTCAAATCCACCTATTTTAAGGAACACAAAAAACTGTCTTTAGTTTTAAGTCATGACTCAGATAAGTGCAAAATACCTTGAAAGCACCAGAGACAAAATCAGAAACACCTGACATGCGCCCTTCTTTCACAAGAATCGAGCCAACAATACCTAAAAGACAAACAATAGCTAATTAAATTAGAAAATCAATTCTTTCTAATGGCTAAGCCATAGCCAGACTGATAGCTACATAACTCCTCTAAAGGGGAATAAACATTACAACAATAACATGTTTTGAATGTAATCATCAATGCAATGATTCTGTCTAATCAATTAATCCATTTAGAACCCAAAAAGAAGCAAGCTATTTCTAAGTTAAACTTGGCAATAGAAGCCTTCTTTCTTTTTCTCAATTGTAGCTTCCAATCCTAGATCATAAAAGTCGATCGGATCATCTTCCATTGGGAGAAAAGGAGCTTCACAATAGGATAAAATAGGCATTGATATAATACATAGAACATTCTAGGTTTATACTGTACACATTTACGGTTCCATTAAATATCACTCCAACCCACTAGCCTGTACAGTGATCCTTTGTGCTTCTAACAATGTCCGTCAATTGGACCATCTTCAGCTAACAAAAACAAGATTGCATCTTTCCATTCCGTTCCAATCCCAGTCCCATCGCTATGACCTTTGTCCCCAATAAACTATCTAACAAAGCACTAAACATAACATTGCCAGGCGCCAGCAAACCTCCTGTTACTTCAACCCAAACTCCTCTGAAATCCTAATTAATTGCCAACGCGGCAAAAACTACCAAACATTACTACTAATTCCACAATCAATCAAAGTAACAAAACACATAAATACCAACAACCAAACCCTACTACAAATCAAGAGTTTAACTAAAACCCTAAATTTAGTTCCACTAAACCAAAAAAAATCGATTCAATCCGAAATCGCAGCAAGCTCGTAACAAAATCTCAAAATTCCAAACAATAACATATTCTAAAAAAAGAAAAAATCGTAAAGCCACGATTATACGAACCTGCACCGACGAGAATAGTTAACTTCCCAAGAGGAAGAGCCATGGCCAGCTACGCTTGGAGCGTATCTTTGAACGCCTATATACTGGATAGTAGAGACTTAAAGTAGCATGAGACGAAAAATAAATTTTGATTTTTTTAAACTACAGTTATTAATTTCATTTTATTGCTGGATTTCTCCACTTGCAATTTGCAGGGGAAACTGGGAAATCAAAGACTTTTTTTTTTTTTTTAATTATGAAATCAAAGCTTGGTTAGTATGCAAACAACCCAACAACCCTATTTGGGACTCCTACTATTTGCCGTTTTATAGTTACTTAGATAAAAGCCCTTGACTTTTTAATAAATCACGAAAAGAGCAACTGTTAAAGCGAATATGCCACCATTGTCCTCTTTTATAATTACGAATATGTCTTCTCAAAAATCTGTAAAAAAAATTTTTTATTTTTTACAAATAGAAAAATAAGGAGTAATTTTAATAACATATTATATACACATAATAATTATACAAATTTCATACATATAAAATAACATAAGGACCTGATTAAAAATTATTGTATTTATGTGTATATTTTTTGTGTATGTAACATTCCTTTTTTCAATACAAACAATCAAATTAAAATGCTGAAAATTTATTGTTTAATATAAACATTACTTGAAATAAATATTTAAATTCCATTAATCTAGTCATTAGGTTTTTAAAAAATAAAAATGTGGTATCAAAAATTCATGGATCAAATTGAATATTTGTTAAATTTATATGCCTTATTTGGGTAGGATAAAAGAGTATTCATGCCTCGAGTTTGTGCACGAGGATGGTACACATCAACTAATCAAGCTAGGCATTTTATGGCCTGAATATAACAACTTTCGGATGAGTAATTTTCCAAATAGGCATACGCGGATTGCGGATTCAAAGTATGAAATAGGGTGTATTAAAAAGTAAAAAATTAATTAAAAAATATTTTTAAATATTTTAAAAGTTTTATGGTTTTTTTTATAAAATTAATAAATTTATAGATAATTATATTTATATATATTACATAAACACTTAAAAAAAAATTTAAATCTACGATTTAGAATCGTTAATGTTTCACGGCAAATTTAGGAATTGTTGCTGAAGATGATATATAGCAGTGAAGTTTTGTTCAATGCATTAACATATCACGAGAGAATTAAATAAATTATGGCCTTTATCTTATATATCAACTCATGGTCATATTAATTTTAAGATGAATGTATTCTATTATTTTTATTTAAAATAATGGAATTATATTACTTTTAAGATGAACGTATTAATGTTAAATGATTAATAATTAACAAATGATATATTTGTCTTTTCAATTAAAATTAATTTAGTAAATAATACTTTATTGTGGTCTATGATAGCAATCCTATGACGACAGCCGGGGAATAACAAAATTACGATTAATTTATTTTTTTTCGCCAAAAATTTACAATTAGTATCTAGCATCAATAATTAAACTTTCAAAACTCAAATCTCATGTCTTGTAAATGTAATTAAGTACTTTAATTAGATAAAAACGTGGACAACTTTTTATGGGGCATAGAACAATATTTTCAAATGGTTGGGACAGCAAATGATGCTAAGTTTAGCTACTATATTTTTTAGTGATAATGCTCAATTGTGGTGGCATCACCAGTATGATAGTATCAAGCGTGGTGAGCAAGCAATCATCACATGAAATCAGCTCATAGAAAAACTTAAATAATAATTTAAATAAGAGTACACGAAAAATGAAACTTGAGGAGAGCTTCACAAGCTTACTCAAAGAGGAAGAATTCGAGACTACTGCATTGCTGATGGTCCGACTAATGAGTCCCAAAAAACTCTATTTTACTTTATATATAGATGGTCTGAAGTCGTAAATAAAAACCGAGTTACAATGGAAACACAAGCAGAAGTTTAGTCGAACCATTGCTGTTGCGGTATCGCACAGGAGAGCAGGTCCAGGGATGCAACGAAGGTCCTGAGGGCAGGACCAAGACCCAAAGAGAATGTGCGGGCGCTGTAAAGGACTCTAAAAGTCCAGGTCAGTTGATCAGATTCAACAGCTTGAAGACAAATCCAAGCACAAGTACAGATGCGAACCAAGCGCCACCCAGAGAATGGCCCAGGCGTGGACACTGTTTTTTTTACACTGTTGTATAACAACCCAAAATAAAATGGTACAAAAATAAGTCCTTTCTAATCGTAAATCCAATAGACATAATCAGATTATAAATTATCCTCCCAAATTACAGCACGAGTTCTTTGACCTATCAATCACCATTAATTTCGAGATGATAAACAAAACAAATGGTCTTTTTTTTTTTGTGAATGAAAAATGATCTAAAAGAAATTTTCTCGTCGATCAATAGGGGGCAGTGAATTTAATTTAAAATTGTCTCAATCCAATAATGCATAGTTCTTAATTTACAAGTATTATGTATATGATGAATATCTCTGCTCGATCGCCTTTGATTCAGAAGGATGTAGAGTAGATTTGCATCTGGCTTAAGATATGCTCAAAGTTGTCAGTAGATTTTTGGATGGGATGTGAATGCATGCCTTCGTAAGTTGTCACCACCATTCCTTCATCATTGGTTAATCTTTGCACTTGTTTCTTGACATTACATCCTTTGTGGGTACATCGATAGTAACTTCTGCAAAACAATAATTACAGTACATATTAATGGAGGCGACGCAAATTTCAACTGGAACTATTCGATGAGTTATATATAAATCCATAAAGAAAAAGAAGAAGAAGTAATTAAGATGGAAGAAGGCAAAGCTGGTTCTTTTTTAAGTGAAATGAACCTGCATCAGTTACCCTAAGCATCTCATCAGTTCCTCCCTTGGCCATGGCAATCATTTCATGTCCCCTCTGCAGGTTTTGTTGCTCTATACGTAATTAGTTTTCTCATGGAATGAGAAATTAAACTCTTCTACAAGGCTAAAGTTAAATCGCTCAAGGTTGGCAAAACTCAAAAGGAGTCGCCAACGGTGGTGTGATCTTTATTAGAATGCTGGATTCTTAATTCTAGTAATCAATATTCAAATCTCACTAACCTCGATTACCAAAAAAAAAAAAACTCAAAAGGAGTAGTAAGTTACAAAAACCACGTCCATTACCCTGCTCCCCATCTAACACGCTAAGAGTGCAAAGCATTTCGGTTTTGATTTTGGGCAGCAAACTTCCCCTTAATTTCACTATTTGTCGTAATTTACATTTCGCAGTCGGATTACGGAATTTGTTAGTCATTTTTCAGCACTCAGCCTTAACATAGCATATTACTCTAACAATCGGTATATTTATAATTTAATACATACATATACAGGTCAAATCCTAGTACCGGCACTCTTTTTTGTATGTGAACAATGAATATTCTGAATTACCTTTTTTTTTTTAAATTTTAATCAGGATTCTGCAACTAAGATAGATATACTAAATCCAGTGATTCAAAACCAGTGTTAAAAAAAAAATAAAAACAAAAAGAACAGGATCTGAGAAGAGCTTTGCATACCTTGGAAATTTGTTATTCTTCACAGCTTTCTGCCCATATTTTCTCCATCTATAGCCATCATCAAGTATATCAACTTGGCTTCTTGTTTGAAAAGCATATTTCGGCTTTCTTATCTTTTTATCTCCCTTTTTCTTCACTTCAGTTTCAGTCCCAGCCAAGCTGTTGCTCTCAGGAAAGCTTTTGTCCTGGGAAATGTTGTGCACATTCAAGCTGCCAGGAACTTCCATCTCTGCCATTAATCCCAATAACCCATTAGCCTTGCCACCTTGAAATTCACCATAACCAGGCGAATTCGTCATGTTTAATGACGAGGAAGACACTGATAATGTCGATGAACTAGGGAAAAATCCCTGAAAATTTTCCATGTTAAAAGACAGAAACAAAGAAACAGAGAGAAAAAACAAAAGAGAGGCAAAGAGATGATTCAGTAATTATAAGTACTACACAGCATATAAGGCAGAAACAACAAATCAAGTATGAAAAAGGCTTGCAAAGGTTAGAGACTCAGAGAGATGTAAGAGAAACTTAAAACAGGGAGGCGGCCCGATGGCTAGATGTAGCGGTCATCTTCCTTATCTTACGTCTGGTATCGTGAACGGCACGTAAAAAATATATATAGTACAAGATTAGTAAAGCAACTGGTAAAATAAAGATACCACTAGTATTAGATTCAGGTTCACATGTAATTTCAACTTTAAATTATATATTTTTAATAATTTAGTACTTACAAAAAATATTAGTAATTGAATTTTGTATATCAATAATTAAAATACTATCTCTATAAAATGTTGACCAATAAAAATATGTTATTTATTAGTGATATTATTGAATTTTTTAGTCACATCAACTTGCAATTAATGAAATTAATGTATGAGATAAAGTATTTGATAAAAATAAAATTTGTATGTTTAATTATAAATTTTTTATAGATAATAAATTAAAAAAATAATATAATTTAGAGACTATATTATACATTAACCCTAGTTTTTATTTTATTTTATATTTGTCGAATAGAGGGGAAATATCGGAGAACTTCATGATTTAAAGGTAAGAAGATAAAGTGATAATCGACGGTGTAGTGGCTGATGATATTGCTATAAAATCTACTGCTCTACTTTATAATATATATATATATATATATATATATTTATATATCTTAGTTGGTTTTGACCAAACTCTCAATTTCGTACATGCATGAGTACTTTTCTTTGACAATTTTTTTCATTGTCGACAGGTAATCTACAAATAAAAATAATGTTTCAGCTATTTATATAGTTTATCTTCATAGTCGCACATTTTAATGGGTGTGGACAGTCAACATTTTACTGGTCAGCAGATGCGTTCTCTTATTAAATTATATATTATTCTGAATTTCCCTTCTTTTTCTTTTTCTGAATATATCAAAACTTGATATATTCAAATGAATGAACTTACGAATCAATCTTTCATTCGTTACCATTAAGAATTTTCAATGTTTGCTTAAGTGTCATGCTATTGGCAACAATGTGTGAGTCTCCGGAAGCAATTGTGCCATACATACATGTAACATAATTAATCGAAAAATAAATATAAATAAATAAATGGAAAAGAAGAAAATAATTCACATTATTCATCATTTACCCTACTTTAAGAATCTTGATTGCCAGATTGATGGGATTCAACGGATGTAGAAACTTCGACACGCTGCAACTATTGCTAGTCTATTCCCTTTGACTTAAAAGGCCAAAACCGAGTTAGCCAACAACGACAGAGATAAGTTCATATATATGTAAGCATTTGTATAATATGACATTAAAAGTGTTAAATTCATAATTTTGATTATTAAAAATAAAAATATGCAATATTAACTATAGGAAATTAATATTTTACATATATGTTAATTTATAAATAAACATATCATAAGGTAAAACTTTATATCATGAGCTAAATTGATTGAATTGATATAATAAAGTCGTGGCCAGAACTTGTTTTATAGTTAAAAATGAGAAGGTTCAACAAATGATTCAAGCCTTTGGTTCGTACACTCAGTTTTTCCAAGAGAGAGAAGGAAAGGGTTAAGCATGCATCTAGGAGACGAAGACCAAGCGACCGTTTGTTTGAATATTAGTATTGTTTAAGCCAAGGAAATAGTCTCTTAGAAACATGTGGTTTGAATTTTTTGTTTGGTCAGTGCGGAGAGCGCGCCCTCCATTGTACGCTCCACACGTAGAACTGAAAAAATAGAAAAAAAAAAAAAAAAAAAACATGTTTCGTGGAATTTTGATTTATAACAATTTTTTATTTTCGGCTACGTAAGTAACGATAGAGGTTGAGATCCAATAATTAATGGACTCTTTGATTTTTAGTTTGGGTTTTTGTAATTGCGATTGCAACTAGTTTTAACAAAAGAAAAAAAAAACTGTTCAAAGAAGTTTTAACCCAAAAAAAAAACATATTAATAATAAATTACTTTTGTTTTCTTTTTAAATCATTCCTTTTGTTTGATTAAATAATTAAAGTTAGCAAATATTTATGTTGGATGACGTTTTAAGTTTTTTTTTTCACTAATAAAATATCTATTATTATTTTATAATTCACTGATAATATATAACATTTTATATATTATTAATACATCAAATATAAATTATATATGTAAATTTAATATATATGTATATATAAATTATATATAAAGTAATATATACATATAGTTAAGAACTTAGAATTTAACCCAAAAAATTCATTTTTTTAAGAAATGTTGATTTTTCCTAAGTTAAAGTTTGATCCTTAGCTTTTTTAATTTCCCTTCGTCTTCGATTCCTTATGTTTCAATCTCCTTTATAAAAAAAAATAATTTCAATTAGTATATATTATTTAGTGTATTGCATATGTTATTTTTATCAAGTACAAATAGTTATGGATGATTGAGATTAAATAATCACTATATAAAATGTCCTTAAATAGTTATCCTTTCCCTTTGTTTTTTTTTTTTTGGAGAAAAAATATCCCAAAAGTACAAAATAACATTGACGTGTCTCTTATTTGAAACAACCTTCAATCATCTTAAACGCTAGCTCTGTTATTTGAAACAAACCTTTAATCACCTTAAATGCTTAGCTCTGTTAAGTATAAATATTTTTATATATTTAAAATAATTAAAAATAAAAATGAATGATAAACACAACATTGTAATAGTAATTGATTAAAATATAACATCAATTCAATGGTAATTTTCATTTAGAATAACGTATTTTTTCAAAAAAATCACATCTTTTGATTTTTTTTTTTAAATATTATACACTACTAATATATTAAAGGTAACAATAAAAGGGGGATCTATAAAAAGTATTACTAGTGGAATTCCTATGTCAAAGGCCGGGGGCCAGCTAATCCAAGGCTTTTAGCTTAAGGGCAGGCGGTTTCGGATGTGGTGCTGGATTATGGCCTAACTAACTTAATTATCTAGTAGAGACGGTCTGGAATACGTGAGCTGTTGAGCAAAAGAAACCCTGCCTGCGTTGCAAACAATATTGTAGCCCTTGTTGGTTATTGGATGAAATTAAGGCTTGATGATGCTACAAAAATATTAATCCTTATTTATATTGCATGCTTCATAAAAGTTCCCGAAGTTAGACTTGGTTTTAATGCCGTTCGGGATAGGTCTTGGTGGCTAAGGAAGGATCCTTGGCACGCGCAACTAGATGATTCTGTAGGCTATCTATACCAACAGCCTAGTGGCGCAGTGCTTCCAAGCCAATCCCATGTACCATCAGTGTATGGTATTATGCCTCCTCTTATTGGTTTAGTGGTTAAGATGTTATGAAAATGATACGTGAACGTGAGTTATAATTTATTAATCATTTTCCTCTTATAAAACCTTTACCCTTCCGAAGAAAATAACTACAGAGAGGCTAACCTCTACAAGCGTTGAGTTGGTTAATTTCTTAGGTGTCATTTGTTATAGGTGTAGTGAAAACGAAGAGACGAAGAACTTATTTGGATGCATAGTAGGAAAAATTTTACCGTATTTTAAATATCGTTTTATGGATTAATTTGTCTTTTTGAAATTGACCTATTGTTCAGTCTTTATTATATGATCTGTAATCGTTGAGCATTTAATTAATTTTCCAAGAGATAATATTGTTGAAAGGAACATTGGAAACACGAGGACCAATCAGTGTTCAAACATTCATTCTAGATTTTGAAAATTGTTTTATACAGCACACATGTTATTGTCATGCCTGCTGTGTTTTTGTATTTCACCAAACAAACTTTCTTGGAAATTCTGAGTAAATATATAATATATATTTTAAAACACAAATAAAATTGCTTCAACTAAAGCGTGTGATGAGGCACATATATTACATATCAGAAATTTGTGATTTTCTTTCCTGCAGGGAGGTGCTTCGCTGTAAATAGGATAATATAGTTGAACTTCAACCATCTTCTCTCTAAGAGAGAGGTAAGACCTTGAGGCTCTTTGACCACTGAATTTTTCTTATTTACTGTATTTTTAATGGTAAAATTACAAAGTGCGACGCAGCCCTTCCCCTTTATTGAGTCCCATAAATCATAATTTTCCAAAAAAAAATTGTATATATTTGTATCCGAAACCTGCAACTTTACATATCTAAAAGATACTGCCCCGCTGCCCGCAACGTTGAAGAAGAGCATTTCACTTGAAATTTCTTTTATTATATTTATTTCTATAATTATTCAATCATAATTAAAAATTATATAAGAGTGCTACTTATAAATTTTAGTTTCAAATAATATTTTAATAAAATTTATATAATTTAAAAATTAAATTAATTTATTGTAATATAATAATGATTTAATATTTTATATACTATTAATGTAAAATTTTAATTATACAAGCATAATTAAAAAAATAATACACGTCTTTTAACTACATTTAAAAATATAAAAAATATAATTAAAAAAATAGACATACATCATCTTTTTAACATAATTTGTGTAATTAAAATTTTATATTGATAATATATAAATATTAACTCTATAATTATTAAAAAAATATAATAAAAAATTTTCTTTAAAGCAACCGTTTTTAAATCTTCCAAATCTACTTCGGTTTCAGCCCGTTGTTTTTGATATGGTAAAGGACAAAAGAATTTTTTGGCAAAGCAATACTGCAATACTGCACAGATATTATTATTAAGAGTGAATTAAATTTGGAGTTTATCTATATCTATTTATAGAATTATTTTAAAAAAATAATATTTAATAAACTTAAATTTTAAATTTTAATCCTTACAAATTTTTTATACTTAAAATTTACAACTTTTATGTACTTAAAAAAAATATTAGTACCATCCATTCATGCTGACATGGAAATAAAAATGAAATATTTAACTATATATCACAAATTTCTTTCTTTATATTTATATTAATAGTTAATGTTCTTGTGATTACGAAATTAAAATTTTAATACTATGATTTTCGATGTGATTAAGAAAATTTCTTTAAGGGGAAGAAGAAAGATAAATCAAGAGCAGTCGGCTTACAAGCAACGATATAATTAGATGTAGTATTGTTTTGAGGTATTAAATGGTGTATTCTGATCATTTAGTCAGCTGTTAGGTTGCAGTCATTTTGATGCTAACGTTATCCTAACTTTATGTATATTTCTTCAATCCGAAAGAAAAAAATACACATTATTGGCTTCTCACGTCATCATTATCAATCGTCATTGTAATAATTCAAACTATTAATTGATTACTGAAAGTGATAACTCTCCGATGTAAGTTAATTCGAAGGTAGATGCAGTAATACAGTTTAAATAACGTCCTCACAAAATAGTGAGGTAATGAAAGTCGGTAGGGTTAATTTATAGAAGAGTTAATTACATTTTTTTTATTTAAATTTTTAAAAAATATATAAATTAGTACTTGAAATATATAAACTTTGTCCATTCGGCCCGATAGTGACCACCTTTGATATGAATATCTGGAAGTTTCAATTTAAAAAAAAAAAAAAAAAGGAGAAAGCTAAACGCTAAGCAGCCATTAAATGGGGCTGGAGTACTACTTTATCCTTGGTCGCGTAATTTACAAGCTCTATATTTGTCCATTTATGGATAATAATATTAATTTTGAGGAAATTAAAAATAATGATAGAAGTGAAATAAATTATTGTAATGATGAGATTAAAATAAATGATAAAAATATATAATAGTAATGATAATGAATTAAATTATGATGAGAAGAAAAATAATCATCACTGATATTAAATTAAATTTTGAATGTAATAAAAAAATTACATTATTTAATATTTATAAAATAAATAAATAATTAATAAACTATTTTTATGATAAATAATAAATTTGTTAATAAAATAATTAAAAAATAATATTTTTATTGTATTAGTTAACAAAATTATTTTATATTTTTAAATAAAAAATTTAAAAATTAAATTAAATTATAAAAATATTTTTATCTCTTCAATACGATTGAAAGGGTAAAAAAGTAAAAAAAAAAAAAGTTATCCAGCGTTGGTTCACTGGACCCAAAACAACCAATGAAAAAAAAAAAATCGAACCGTACAGTTTAAACATCCAAATTGAATCTCGGCGCAGTTTACTTAAATTTTCATGAAAAACGGTTTGAATCCAAATAAGCCTAAGTAGCTTTAATGTTATGGAAAGTAATATAGTATTATTGCCAACAGAAAGAAAATTTTGTTTTTATTTGGGTAAAATTACGTAAATTTATTATAAAATATTTTGATTTTTGGTAGTCAAACATAAGCATTATAAACGAGAGATCCGCTGCTCGATGACGAGAAAGTTTGGTATCACCTGCCAAAGCCAATCCACTGATTCAAAGTTGAGTAAGACTATTATTAACATTCTTTTGGTTGGAACTGTGGTAGGAAGCTTCGCCATCTTACAATTAATGCCGTCATACTTCTATCAATCTAGCGTAACTGATGTTGTCATGTTTTTTGTTTTTTAGTTTGTTTTAGATAGGTTTGATTCCTGGAGGCTGAACGCGGCGCTTTCATGCTTGCAACTTCCCTCTGGAGAAAAAGGTATGCTTGAATAACCTTTCTTGGAAACTATGCCTCCCACGTAAACCATATTTGTATTTTCATACTTTGACTAAGAACGTGGAGTTATATTCACGCCAAAGAATTCAGTGCATGTGTGACCTAATGAGAGGGGACGCGCTAATTCCCTCCATAAAATTTAACCTTTTTCAATAATCGTCAATGTATAGTTGTTAGGACTAGTTTGATTCCAACCCTAACATTTTGAGACATCTCTCAACTTTCACAAAATTTATCAAAAAAAAAAAAAAGCTTAGTAATACAATAAACTTTATACTGTGTCAATCAATTTATATATTAATGTTATATATATTTCATGTTAAATATATAGAAAATATAAAATTATTATATCATAATTTATGTTAATTTTTTGAACACTAAACATTTTTTTTTCAAATTCATATATAATTTTTGTTAAAATTTTACATTATTTTAAAATTTTATTTTAAAATTATTTTTTTATCATTTTTAACAGAAAGTGTAAAATACAACATGCTAGTATAATAATTTTCTAGCCCACATCTTCTTAGAGCTGAGATGTAAGAATCAGGGCTGAGCCTTTATAGCTATTCCAACACCTAGTATTTGATCCACTTCTTGATGAGCCGTCGGCAGCCCAACCTGAGTCAGCCATTAATGCCATCATTGGTTCCTCACTCCTTGAGCATACAAATGTTATGATTAGCCCATTTAAGGGATCAAGCCCTGCTATTCAACTCCAAAACTAAATTTACTATTGTATGGCATAAATAATATATGCAAGAAAATTACTATTATTTGTTCCCACATTTTTGATCTTATAATAATTAATTAATCTTATTATTATATTCATTTTATAATAAAATTAAAATATAAAATGTATAATTATTAATATAAAGTGAGGCAACGTCACGCAATCAATCCAACCTGCCAAAAAAAGGTAAAGGAACGTATAATGCACGCGATTACCAAACCCTCTTAAAACGGAGACAAGGATTGGGGTTTACATGTGAATTAGGAATTAATAAAAATGGATTCTTCTTCTTCTTCTTCTTCTTCTTCTTCTGCTTCGTTTAACTCATTCTTGATTCGCATCCGAGCTTCCGCCAATTCGTTCCTTTCACAATTCGAACCTCTGGCTCTGCTCTTCGCCCCTCTCCTTACTCTCCTCGTCGCGCGTGTACTTGAGTCGTTTCTTTCCGTTATTCACGAGAAAGGCCTCAAAGCTACGCTTCTAGGTTTTTTCATGAGCTCTATCAAGTAATTTTTATCGAACTTACTAATTTTTTGTTTGATTAAAGTTTCAGAGCGGAGATTTCATTTTCATTGACCAATTTGTTTGTTTTCCATTTTCCAAAAAAAAAAAAAAAGGCTGGTTCCTGGTGTTAAGAGTTATATTGATGCGGAGAAACAGAAGGTCAGATATATTTAATTTTCTTTTTCTTGTTCTTTTTTAATTTTTCAGATTTATTGATCTTTTTTTGTTATATAAGCTCCGTACTGTGGATTAATGGTTAGTTTTGATTCGTTGCGAACATTAGAAAATTGTTTTTTCTTTTTTTTTGGTTTGGGTAATAAATAAAGAATATATAGTATAATTGGATTAGGAATAACTGGAAGCATTTAACACTTGTCTGCTGAGTTGCATTCAATGCATTTGTTAGTTTGTTGTTATTTTTTCATAGAAATTTCAAATCTGGCTGCTTCTCTACTGCTACTATTGTTTGTGGTCCTGTGAATAGGAGAATTCCATGTATTTGTTTTTCACTGTCTGATCTGACCTGCTGATTGATGAAATGCATTTATGATTCGCATTTTATGGTGCTATAGAGTTGGTTGGATTTATTCAATTGCATTTATTTGCCATCATAGACTATGATTTTGGCCTTTCTCAGTGTCAATAACTGGATAGGATTTTCAGTTATTACAGTTATAGTAACAGGTGCTGTTTAGAATTTTCTCTCTGCAAAGTATTTTTACCTACCTTTCATTCATTTAATAAGGAATTTATAAATAGATAAGATGCTTGTAGTTTGGGTTGTGAAACTGTAGTGTAGCATATGTTTGCTTGTTTGATTTTTTCAAGATTGAAACATACGATGTCTTCGTTTAAACTAAGCATGATTATTGATTTGTTGGATAATTAATGTAGAGTGGCTGAAGCCTGAATGACACCAGTAATGGTGTTGTTTTGTTTATCAAGCCAATTAGTGGAAGCTAAGTGGTTCTTACACTCTTTTGATCATTGTATTTTTCCCCCATATGGATGAAACTCTGCACAAGTGCGTAATATTTAGGTATAGCCCAAATCAAATAATGCTTGTCCTTGTCGTTTTACAGTTGTTGCACAGACACTCTTATGTTCTTGCTTCTAGAACTAAAATACTGATATTGTCTCTAGATGCAACTTTATTTTTAAAATTTTGTTTATGCATTTTATGTTTCATGGAATCAGGTCCTAGTACGTTTTGTCTTAAATGATTAAAATCTTTCCATCTTGAAATTAGCATGAATATAATTTGGTACATGTACTGGTCTGCTGAACAATGCAGGTTGTGGATAAGTTACAATCTGGTAGCAAATCCAATAGAGAACACTGGAGGATGGAGTTGCCAACCACAGGTTTAGGAGTAGGTGTTATAGAGGAAATGAAAGATGAAAAGGGCAAGGATGCTGATTGGCAAGGAAAATGCTCTGGTACAGTGTATGTTTATAATTTTGGCTTGGAAATATTGTGTCTATTTTCTTCTACATCAAATATAAATATCAGTTTTTGTTGAACTGTGATTGAGCTTGATAAAATTCTGGGTTTACTTGGTCCAGCTACATTGGTGGAAATGAATCTGAAGGGCATTTTTCTTTGATCAACGAGGCATGTTCAATGTTAGTAAGATACTGGAAATTTAACATTGTTTTATATTCCAAGAAGATCATCTATTATCTGTTATTATTTGCAATGCTTTAAACTTACTTGATTTATTAAATATCACTGGTGAGAGAGTTGTAGATGAATTGGAAGTTGCGTAGAATCAGTTGACACTATCTTGGTTTTCCAAGAAGTGTGCTCATTGACTTTTTCTTGTGTCAGTGAAAATTTCTATTAATTCTTTTATAGTAACTTTGAGGAATTCAGGTCTGCCCTACTCTTTTGGTTACCCATCCTTAAAAAATTCTGTAGACTATTTTCAGGTTTGCTCATACCAATCCATTACATTTGGATGTGTTCCAAAGTGTGGCACGATTTGAGGCTGAAGTGGTTGCTATGACAGCTGCTTTGCTTAGCAGTAAAGAGAAGGCTTCTGGTGGAGAAGTATGCGGAAACATGACATCAGGAGGAACCGAGAGTATATTATTAGCTGTGAAAACGTCTCGGGATTATATGAAGATGAAGAAGGGGATTACAAGGCCAGAAATGTATGTGTTTCCTGATATTTACTTCAATAATTTCATTAGTTTTTTTATTTATCCTGTTGTTATTAATTTGAATTATCCTATTCCCAAGCATAGGATAATAGCTGAATCTGCACATTCGGCATATGACAAGGCAGCGCAATATTTTAACATCAAGCTGCATCGTGTTCCTGTCAATAAGGAATTTCAAGCAGATGTGAAAGCAATAGCGCAATATATTAACAGAAACACAATCTTGGTATACATGCCTTTGTTATTTCCAGTATTCTGTATGCACCATGGGGTCTTTGTTATTAAGTTGGCCTGACCAGAATCTTGTGATACTGCAGATTGTTGGATCTGCACCTGGGTTTCCTCATGGCATCATTGACCCTATTGAGGTGTGCCACTACTCATTACATGTTTCAATGTGATAGGAAAAGTTTGTAAATGTAATTTGTTCATGTTATATTTTACTTGGTTTCTTATTCAGAAAATATGGCATCTTTCTTGTAGGAGCTTGGTAAATTGGGTTATAGATATGGAATTTGTTTACATGTTGACCTTTGTCTTGGTGGCTTTGTATTGCCTTTTGCTCGTAAACTTGGGTATGTGCAGCTGAACTCTTAGTAGTATTGGATTATTTTCTTTATATCTTTTCAGCACGGACTAAAACATTAGAATAGTAGTTGTCATTGTTTTGTTTTGGTTCTTATTCTTTAAAGGCTTGCAGTTCTCTGTTGTTGATTTGATACCTGTTTCCCTCATTAACTGTTTGTTCAGGTCATTAGTAAAAAGTTTTCAAAAATAGATGTCAGCCTGCTTTTAGTAGTTTTAATGTTCAATGGATAACAGGTTATGTACTCTATTTTGAAGAAGTTGAGAGTTTTTTTCTTCCCCTCTGTAAGGGAGTCGTCTATTTTCTTATGCAGTTGTTGAACATGCTAAGGTTTCTTTCTCTGGAAAAAATGTCTTCACATTGATTGACATAAACTTTTTTCCCTTTGAATGAATTTATCAACTTGATTTGTTTCACGCCATTGAGTTGATGTTGTGATCTGTATAACCAGCTACAACATGCCATTTCATTAGGAAACTGTTTTGTGTTATTCGAGCTGCCACTTTTTTCTCATCTTAGTGTGGAATCATCACTTTTCCTTAATTAGCATATGCCTTGCATGGACTACCTGTAGTGATTTTTTATCAAATGCTATAAGATTCTGATTTGAGTTTTTTTTTTTTTTTTTTAAATTTCTCACTGTCAGATACATGAATGCTTATTTGAAAATATTAGTGTTTTGTTTTTGAACTGTTGTAAAAAGTATTATTGGGAGTATAATTCTTAATATTTTCCCCTTTTTTCTTCTTAGGTACCCAATTCCATCTTTTGATTTCACTATTATGGGAGTAACTTCAATGTCAGTGGATGTGCATAAATATGGGCTGGCTCCTAAAGGAACAAGTGTAGTTCTGTACAGAAATCATGACATTAGAAAGGTAGATATCAGTTATCCTTGAACAACATGGAACATCGTTTGGGCTCTACTATTTGATTGCATATAGTTGCTATCTTGCTGAAGTAAAAACTTAAATTGGAGATTTTGTGCTGTATGTATCCACTGACAGCTGAAAATTCTATGTACAATTTACATATTGCGTATTATCTATTATTGTTTGGTTTGGTTTTTGCCTTTTGGTATGCATATTGCATCCTCAAAAGCTACATGAGAAATGCCAAGACTAATTTTCTGGTAACACAGCATAAGTTTTAGATTTTATCTAAATATTTGTCATATATATATATATATATGTATGTATGTGTAAACACTTCTGATCAAGTTCTTAATGATTTGATTTTCTTCTCATGGCATCTTGGTTGGTGGCTACTAAATGATATGGCTGGATTTCTTGGCTGACTGTTCTCCAACAGCATCAATTTGTTGCTGGTAAGTAGAATCTTTGCTATCAAGGAAAAAGAAAAGGAGAAATAAACTTGATGTGGAAAAGGAAGGGGATGGGAAATGCTTAGGGCTGTTTCAACGTTTAAAAAGGAGGCAGCCAAGTTTCTTCTAGGAGTCTTGAATGATTTAAAACTATTTCTAGTATTTCTGATTGTCTGGGGCTATTTAAAACATTTGGTAATATGAGGCTGTTTTGAGACTGTAAAGCATTAATTTATTATAATTGGAAGGATAGCTTTTAAAGCAGATAGTGCATCGAAATGATTTTCGGGATGCTACAATCAATTTTTTTTTTTTTGGTACAAGGGAGGCTAAAGCCTAAGGGGATAGGGAAGGGGAATTGCAATGTAAGGAATGCTTAGCAGTTCTCTGCTTTATAATTGTACTTAATTTGTTTTGTTTTTGTACATGCTACAGTTACTGAGTGGTCAGGTGGGCTTTATGTTTCTCCAACAATAGCTGGAAGCAGGCCTGGAGGATTGATTGCTGGAGCTTGGGCAGCAATGATGTCTCTGGGACAAGAAGGTAGCAAAATGCTTTTTTAGTCTGCAATGCCTGAAGCTATGAAATGGTTACCGACATTGTTGTTAAATTATTCAGGTGCTCTGTTTTTTTGTCTGATTATTGTTTCTTGACAAACCATAGGTTACTTGGAGAATACAAGAAAGATCATGGAAGTATCGAAGATGATACAGAAAGGGTTCGAATTCGTTTCACATTTTCTACTGAATTCTCTAATTTTCAGATATGGAGAATAACAGCCACTTTAAATGCAGGATAAAGGAGATTCCTGAGTTGTTTATCATTGGAAAGCCAGACATGACAATTGTGGCAATTGGATCTGCTGTTCTGGACATATTTGAAGTCAATGATATCATGTCTCGCAAAGGTTGGCATTTGAATGCCTTACAGAGACCCAACAGGTGAGCAGTCTCTGCCTTATTCTTTCTTTTATTTCTTATCGGATCGAATTCTTTTTAATAGTGAGTGCCTTAGTTGGTCATTTGAAATGAATTATAAAGTGGTCTCACTTTGATTCCATTGATTAGATGTTTCTTTGATTGTGAATTTTAACTTCTATATAAATACCAGTAGTGTTTCATTCTTCATTTTCAACTTGTCTTAAAGTTAGAATCATTTTAACCATGGCAGCAATGTCTATTCTTGGAGACTGATTATTTTCTTCCATGTTGTTGAATCAGCATTCATATATGTATCACTCTTCAACATGTGCCAGTTGTTAATGCCTTCCTCCAGGACTTGAGGGAAGCTGTAAAAACTGTAAGCTGTTTTTCACTGAAAATACCAAGTCATGAATAGTATGCTCGACGATAGTCAGCGACATAAAGCATGTTTACTGTATTTTAGAGAAATTTTTTGTTCTATCGGAACTTGATGCTGATTCCTTTATGTATGTCTGTTGCAGGTGAAAGAAAATCCAGGCCCTATAAGTGGAGGCCTAGCACCCATATACGGTGCAGCGGGAAGGATGCCAGATAGAGGCATGGTTCAAGAATTGTTGGTAAATTACATGGATGGTATATGCTAGGATATGTCATAGCCTCATAGCTTGCCATCACCCATACCATACGTCAGTTCTGATCCTTTTACTTCTTCACATTCTATTGGTCTGTATAAGAATTCTGGTTAATTCATCAAGGAAATAAATGTTCATTTGATTTTTTCTCTAAATTCCCAGTTCCATAATTACTGATTTATTTTTCAATGAATTCCTTTTTAGTACTTTTTATAAGATAATTAGTTTAAACTTAAAATGTAATTATTTTTACAATTATTTTATCTTTCAATTTTTGTATAAAATAAAAGTATTGGATTTTTAGTTTTTAATAATAACAATATTAAAATTAATTAAAATATAAGAATAAATGAATGGCATTTAAGTAAAATTTTAATAATTCTTCGTGCAGTCAAGGAAGGGGTGCGGATTTTAGACCTTTGTTGCCTTTGGGAGGAACGAAAAGCCAAGCAGTACAAGAAAAAAAAAAAAAAAAGGCAATGACAATGGTCCGTTTAAAGAAGAAACTCATAAGATTTTGTAGACTACATAGATGTTTAGAGTCAGAAATGGTGTCCAGGGCTGGGGTACCTTTGTCTGTGCGGTAAATCCTTGACTCTTGAATTTGATTTCCAAAACCTAACCAATTTCCCTCAAAATTTCAGTTCTTGGGAAATTGACCATTTGACTACAAAGGAAAAACTGACAACGAAACCGGACAGAGAAGAAGCAAACCAGAAACAATGGCCACTCAATCCTTTTTCCAGGTAAGCCACCTTTTTTTTTTTTTTCTTTCATGTGAAGTTGCAGCAAACTCGGTGAATTATTACATATAATTTAAAGGCTTAAATACGATGGGCTGTTTCTATTTGGCGTCTTCAATGAATTTTCGTTAGGCAACTGCCATTGGATGAACTTACAATTGCAAAGACTTGTTTGCGCTACCCTCTGTTTGTTTCCCTGTGTTATTGTTTATTTGCAACTTTCCCAGCATTTAAAATAGCTACAGTGTACTTGAACTATAGCCAACTAAGGGGTATATACTCTTTTTGAGGCTATGACTTTTTCCTTTTTCTTTTGAAGCCACTACTTTGTTTTTTTTTTACACTCTCTTTGTTAAGCTATCTAATGGTGCTCCCAAATTTTTAATTTTCCTGTTGCAGACGTGGTTAGGAAATATGCAAAAGAGAATAGAGGCAAAAAAACAAAAAAGAAATTGGGTTTCTGGCTACACTTTCTGCATTATTTTCCGTCACTATTTTCGGATTGGTTCTAATTTGTGGTACTTCATGTAGAAAATGTTATAAAGAAAGTAAAAAGCAGATTGATTCACATTTGTTTGTAGCTTTCTGTTTGTCTGTTGTTAAATGCTGTGTTTTGCTTCAAGCATATTATGATTTTCTGTTGATCTATAATTAAGGAGACATTGAAGTAACTGAACTCCAATACTAATTGAGATATGTTTGGTAGGAAAGCGATAATGTCTTATAATTTTACATTAAGCACTCTCACCTGTAGGCTGCAGGAGGAGGGCCTCCTTTATTCCTTTATTTATTTCAAGCTCTATTGTAAAATAGCCACTCTCAAATACCAGTTTAATGATTACTAATAATAGAGACTCTCGCAAGCAAAGGGAACACCATCAATTTTCATTCGTACTAACTGGGGATGATAATTGGAAAACCAGACTTGAAAGTTTCTTCTGCCTTTACAGCTCCAACACCAGGTCTACAAACACAAATAAATTTACGGGATTAGGATATTTATTTTGAAAACTCAAAATAGTCACACCAGCATATAAATATATATATATATATATATATGTAACAGTCACAAACAATTGACTGCTGCATCTGCCTTTTGGTATTCAATTCCATGTGCTAAAATGTGATGACACATTGACACTAATGCTTACTGTAAAGTCATTATGCGAGAAGGATCACAAGGCATCAGAAGTGCCACTTGGTTTTGTTGCATGGCTATAATCATCCATAGTAGGATATCAATTAGGGAAACTAGCTATTGAAAACAATGAAATATTCTTGGAAAGAAATCAAGAAACTAATAACAAATCGGACAAGTATGATATTTCATCAATGAATTCTAGATGGTCCATGACAGGCTTTCTTAATGGATATTGAAAATGTCAAATGTGTGTGTACTTACAGTCTGCATCTGTTTTGATCCAGCACTCCCTGTTCCCATTTGAATCATTGCAGCTAAGTGTGAACTGAGGTGGGTTAGATTGGCTCTTGTAGCATCTCACGTTCTTTGAAAGTGCTCTCTGAGGAAATATCATTATGTCCTCATCTGCAAGCATATGACCTCCATTCTCATGTCCTCCATCATAGACGATGCCTTTCTTGTTCTCATTCTTTTGGGGCTTGTCATGCTTATTTGTGGCTGTTGAGCTTTCAGGATGAACTTTTCTGTGGAACATGTGTAAGATCTACACGCCACATTTCTGGGAATTAGGGAATTCAGTCTTTTTCATCATCAGAATCTTAAGTACATTCATCAAAACTCAAAACCAATGGTCTGTTTTGCTAATTATTTGTAAATCTTGAAATAAAGAAGAGAGAAGAAAGGGCAGAAGAAAGCTAGGGAAGAAAGAAAACTTTTGTTAACACATACTTGATATGCTGACCATTCAATTTGGTTCTTTATCTTGGCCAGCATTTGTCATTGTTCACATTTAGGATCATATAGTCACAGCATACAAATTATTGAATTTTATACTCACAAAATTTTCTTTGTTACTAACATACTATTACTTTGTAATGATCCTGCAAAGGCCTGAAAAGAAGAAGTTTGATCTAGTTATGTTTTTTCAACGTACCTTCTGCAGTTTTGTTTCTGCCGAAGCAGAATCAATATTTCCACTGGTAGCTGCAGTAGAGCTCCTAGAAGCAGTGAGCATTTTTTTCTTCAGCATTCTTTTCATAATGTGCACTGCAGATTTATCTCCTTCCTTCTCTGTTCGCTTCTCCTCCTTGTCATATTTACTCCCAAAATTTTCTTCTGTTATTTTAGTCCTCTGAAACAGCTCTGCAAGTGAGGTCCTGTGTTCCTTTTTTGCCACTGCAGTTGTTTCTGATAATTCAATTGCTGAGCCAAAAAGATAACCTTGGAGTGGACAAACCATAGTACCATTCCCATTGGTATCCGGACCTTCCATTGGCTTTCCACTAAGTGTAATTGTACTGCCATGACTGCTTCTTCCTGTGCTGACATGACTGTTTTCTTCCAGATGAGTCATTGCAGCCTTCTTCTTTAGCTTCAGCTCCCAGAACCTTCTCCAACTCATCATTAATGAGCTTCAGCTCATTCTCTGTTATTTCAGTTTCTTTTTCAGTTATATTCTCTACAGAGATAGCAAATGTTGGTGTTGATGGATCGGGAATGTTAGGGTCTGAACCTAGTGTGCCAATGGCAAGAAAACCGTGGAATAGGTCAGATATTGCTGATGATGAATCTTCTTCGTAGTCTTCTTCTTCTTCTACCTGCGCTGCTTCTACACCGGCAAAAGACTTTCGAAGATGGTCTCTCTGGTGTTGTCTGAATGGCTTGGTGCCATAGTTCGGCTTTGAGTAAAATTGGTCATCCAGTGATGATTGCCCTGTCAGACAATTACAAGAATGCCCTGACACAGAAAATGTTTAAAGAAAAACTTGGATGATGGTGAGGTTATATGGAAGAATAGGTTCTAGCATACTATTTCGGCAGAGACAACATTGATAACTTTTCCTTACCCATGCTCTAGCATTTAGTTTAAAAGAAGGATTTATATTTATTTAATCACTATGTATTTATCGTTATATAGATCGTTTTTGGTTCATCTTAAGCCTATATTCCAGTCATCATAGTGAACAGCATGAAGAGTATGCTGTTCAAAGTTCTTTGTGATTCGTGTGCATGAAGTCGAATTTGCACCAACTTTTCAGGTCTTGATAGTTCTGTAACCTCTTGTGCATATCTATAATCAGTCATGCATTGCCATTATAGTTTGCATAATTTTCATGACCAGAGATTAAGACTCAGAGATTATAGCTTTCCATTCAGTTGCATCTTTCATGTAAATGTCTCAGTAGAAAAAGCTATATGGCAGGATGACACTTACCAATGGCAAAATCCTTGAATGGTTCACTGCTATTTTGGCGGAACTTGCGGTGCATCCAACCAAGTAACTGCATCCAAAAGAGAAAATTTCAGCCCATAGAATGAGGAAGATCACTTTCACCAGGCATAACCGAAAGGTGTATACCTTCATCTCCACTCTCTTTAGGATATCAACTTTGACCAGTTGTTGTGTATGGTGTGTGGGGTGGGTATCTACTTAACCATTAGATGATGAACTGTTTATGAATGTGAAATAAATTAGGCCTTTGAAGCCTTCTATCATCTGAGATAAAGATGGCTGGAGAGAAACACAGAGATCATTACAAGATTTGGGTTGGCTATTAATTATCAAGATCACATCATGTAGCCAAATGGAGAGTGGGTCCTCCGCACCAGGAGACCAAAATTCTATATAAGCCATCCACTCATGTTCATATTCATCGCGGGTTACAGGGTTTATGACTTTTTCCTTTCTTTCTTTTCATTGTTTCTTATTTATTTATTTGTTTGCATGATTTGTCATACTTAAAAATCTTTATTATGGTGGCATGTATGAATCACTCACATGTCCATTAAATCTGTAAGTTAAGATGCCACATTCTACAGATCATCAAGTTGAAGTATGCCATGTTGTAAGTTACCACTGTTTCCAACATGTAAATCTGCATGCACCTTTTTGGTTTGGATTTTGATGAATTAATTATCATTATTACAATAATTGGTTTACTTGGTATTTGGTGGAAGAACCTGGCTTTACTAGTGGGGGCTGCGGAGACTATTTTGTCAGATTTACTAGTGGGGGCTGCGGAGACTATTTTGTCAGATTTCATTGTGTTCAAATGTAATATGACAATAGAATATCTTTTCTCATTGTGGATTCAAAAAGAACATCTGCCTGATGCTCCTTGGTGGTCCGCTACTGTGAGGGGTTTTCTAACTGAATGACCATCGTGTGATAGAAAAGAATAAATGATAATTTACTCAAATAAATATCTTCATATACAATACATTACAATAATGTTGAAGTTGCTTAAAGAATTTCAATTTGCAGTCACCAATTGGATCCACTTGATATTCCCGATATTCTAGTTAATTCTATTATTTTGGAACATAGAAAACATGCATTTAGCTTTTAACCACAACAGGTATGACTAAAATCTAACTCTTCACCTACACATTTCTTCACATGTTATGTTTCATAAATCTAGTTGCATTTAATATATTGTTAATTTGCCACTGTATATGACTAACCTCTCATAATCAGATTTTACTTCTGCATGGTGATTACTAATAACAATTCTCCATTATCTACTTTCAAGCATAGCCAAATAACGACCATTAACAAAAGTTCATGGCTTGTGATCTCAATACTTCCCAGTTCTATGGAATGTTGAAGTTGCTTTCATTCTTAGCCAGTCTTGTACAGATTCGCTGTCATTACCATTATAATATGTATTTCTGCAGGCCTCATCAAGTTCATGACTGTTGACCTCAAAAAAAATCAGTGTATCTTGCTAGCTACTTTGTTATGACTGTGCTGAAAAACAATAAAGGGTTTATCACTGAGAGACAAATGTAGTAAAGCCATTTTTGGTGAACGAGTACAAATATCATAGATGTTGAGTAGCAAATTATGATACCCGCAACTACTGGTAAATCTTTGCGAAACCTTTAATTAACAACTGCGATAACAATATTTGTGAATTATGTTCTAGTAGAGGTTCCTTATCTGTAGCCTCTAATTTTGTAAAGCTCATCTATAGATAGATTTTCATAGCATGCTTTAACAGTACTTGCATCTTCTGGATTGCCTGAATGAGTAACTGTGAAAGAGAAACTAATGTCTAACATTACTTTGCTCTTCCATGCTTATTAGTGAATGCTTGTTCTAAATTTATTACCTTGTGACTGCTATTTTAAATGTTTTTAATCATTGATTATCTCCTGCAGTTAATTCATATAATTTCCTTAAAAAAATGAATAGTCATGGAGATGGGAAAAAACTGCTCTTTGATGTTCCAATATCTGGATGTGTGTCTCTACAAGATCATTTTCATTGAAATTTAATCTCTAAATTCCATGATTTCTACATAAAGTACCTTGACATTTTAAATATATGAAGGATGCAGTAAAAGGAGCAAACATAGAGATGTATTATCGTTCGATATTTGTGGCCCTTCATTTTGTTTCTATTTTTATGATGCTTTAATCAACGACTTTCACTCTTCTTCAAAGGAAGGAGCAAGAGATATGGGTGCTTGGACCATGTAGTATGGTATCATCTATAGATTTTGATGATACTTGTGAATCCTTCTTCTGTCTAAACATGCAACAATTTTTCAAAAATAAATCTAAATACAATGATGATCACATATGATCTGCTTAGGTACTGGTCTTCTTGAGTTTTTGATGCAGTGCTCCCACAAGTGATGGTTCTCTTCTACTTGCAGATTTGTTGTGCTGCTCTTAAGTTGTTGATATAACAGGCTGGTTGGTATGAATTTGATGGTGTATCAAGTAAACATGAAAGAAAATGGTGTGAGGAAGTCATAGATGATTATAATGAGATAAAATCTCTGAAAGAGGCAGGACAATCAAAACAATGAATTAAAATACGAAGTTGGTGCTGAAACTGCACTGTCCAGGCAGGTGTAGAACTCTGCAATATGGAAATTCTAAGAAATCAGAAGAAACTGGAAGGCACATTATTAGTTTGAAACTGGTTAGCAGGTTAGGTGTGGATCAGTTCTTTCTTGATTGAAACTTCAATATCTTACCTGCATTTCAGTTTTGGTTTCGACATTGCTAGCTCTATGTTAAGGGCCAAGGTTTTAATATCTTTTAATCAAAATTTCAGTAATGCTCATAGTGAAAGGTATTTCCTTCTTCATGTGGCTGTCCTAGTACTTCCTTTTTTGCTGTACAAGAGAGAGTATGTGATACAGCATCCAAATTACTGATAAAACTATTGCAAACTCAGAATAGTAACGAAAATGAATTAATTGATATTTAGAAGCTGGAAATGAATGTAAGATATTTTGGTTGTGATTGAATAATATTGTTCTATATAATTAATTGTTTAAGAAATATAGAAAATTTGAGTTTGTAGTAGCTTCTCTTTTTATGACTAGTATAGCAACTACTTAATCACAAGATGTTCCATTGAATAGATGAACTCATGGAATGGTGTTGATAAGAACAATAGAGGGTGTTCAAGTGTTGAATACTTCCTAAATGACTTGGTCTACTAGCTGTTGATGGTGTTTCCTGCATGGTTATATACTTATATTTGTATAGAGTATAGAGTAATTATATGTATGTTTGTGCAGCTTTAGTGGTTCCAGGTTTTAAATCAACTTTGAAAGTCATCAGCCCCTAATTCAATAGGATAACTAATATGTAATTTCCCTTCTTTTTCATTTTCCTTTTGGTCGTATTGGGAGTGTTGTGTTTGATATGGTCATGCACAAGAACAATTACCTACACTGACAAAATAAAATACTCCGGAAATGAAAAATGGTTCTGACAGAACGAAATGGTATGTTAGGTAACCGTGTTAAGAAATGATCATATACTACACGTGTAGGTTCAGGCGAAATTCTGTGCTATCCCGTTTTGCATAGCCAACATGAAACTAGAATACAATCTGTTGGGACAATTTCATGCCTCAAACATGATGGAAACTGACAGCTTGGAAGACGCTAAAAGGTTTTCTCATCCCTGTTTGACCTATTGTTTTCTATATTGAATCTGAATGCATAGACCCCTGCTGCAATGTGAATTCATGGTGGATATATTGTTATGGTATATTTGTCACAAAACTAATTTACTCTCCATTTTTTCTAGCTTTACTAAAGGTGGGTCTGTAGTTTCTCTCTTTGTTAAATAGAAGATTCTTGTAACCAAAACAGTGGAGAATCAATCAAATAGATAGTGTCAAGCAAGCGGTGCATATGGTGAATCAGGATAACTCAACACTGTTGAATTGGTGTTCAGTGATGTTGATTCTGTACTATGATTGATTTTGATCCTCAATAATCCAAATGTGGTATGTCCTTATGATCCTCTGCTTCTCCTGTGGATCGTAGAAACAGGTGAATTGCTGCCACATACTTGTATGGTCATGGATTGGGCAAAGGGTGCCGCCATTTCTGACTTGTATTTGGTAATCAATTAAGAGACAACCCATGCTTTATATCATTATAGTGCAAAAGACTTTCTATTTGGTTTTTCATGCTCATTTTGTCCTGGAATATGTTAAACTACTGCACAGACAAACTGCCCCAAAATCTGGATGGATGGTTTAAAAGCTCAAAGAAATATACTGTTAAGACATTTCTTCATGCTTGTGTGATCAAACTTTGTTATAGTACAAGGAGAACAAGTAAGGTTTTATACATTTTTAAGTATTCAGGTTGCTAGTTTCCTTTGATGGGTCCTATTCCTTAGGTTAAAGTTTCTCTCGCCTTTTGCATTATTTCTAAAATGAGGTTACGGCTGCCTGTTTTGACTAAGCATTGATACAGGATGCTGCTAACATCATGCATTCAATGTATCTAATTTAATTTTTAAACTCTTCATGTTAAAGCTTAAAAGTGACGAACAGCAAAAGGTTAGAAAATATGTCGGTCAATGCTACAAGCTCTTAGGGAGTTTGATTGCAACTTTAATATTTTAATTCTATAATTTGATTTACTACCTGCCAAAAGCTAACTGACAATTTCCTTGGGGAAATTTCTGTTCATCCAGAATGTAAGTATTCACTGACTCAGCAGTTGCTTCTTCATGCCAAGAACAAGCACTTGAGTATTTTAACTCTCTTTATTTTACCTGTTCTTCAGCACATTACTCTTCCTCTGTTGCAATTGTAATTTGCTCAGCATCTCATAAGTCACATATGGGTCTTGTTGTCAGTTTCATTACCATTAATATCACGGGTCCCACCTCTTTTTTCACTTCTGATTACATGATAATATTTTGATCTACTATTGATTTTTATATGTCATGTTTGATAATATTTTGATCTACTATTGATTTTTATATGTCATGTTTAATCTGGAGCCAACTGCATTGACAACAAATACATGCAAGTTCTAAGATCAACCTCAAGCCTGCATTTGGAGCATATGACATTGTTGGTAAGGCTAAGGTAAAGGTTTTAGAACTAATGGGTGAGGTCATTTTTTAGTTTTGAAAAAAAAAAATCTCAATAAGCTTGTGTGATGTGAAATGGCAGTTTGACTGCATGATTTAAATTCTGACAATGAGCAAATGAAGTTATGTGGAGTTAAATAAATGAATATTCAAGTTTCAGCTGAATAGCTGTTTCTATTTAAGTTCAAGTCAGACATCATTCTTTTCTTGGTGACTAATTTAACATAATCTCACCGGTTGAAAAACAAAAGTATCGTATGTTGTCTACTCTTTTTTTTTTTCCCATCACTGAAAAGAGATTGCTTTGCATTTTCCCCCCTAAGAACCAATGCATTTGTCTGTCAAAAAAGAAATAAAGTTAGTGCTATTGCAACTTTGATTAATATCTGAATGTAGCAAAGCAATCATTTTATATATGAGATCTTATATGACATCTTACCCTATTTACTCTCTGGAAAACGGTTTAAGCTTTTCCTTAGACCACGTAAAACACCTCTCATAGACTACTTTGTTAGATATGGCCTTATCAAAAGCTATATTGCACTTACTTCTTTTTTAACTTGAAGAAGGCATCTAGTAGTTTGGCCTTGTACTTAAATTGAGGTTTTGGATTTTGTTGTTTCATTGCACCCAAAAGAAATTCAAAAAGAAAATGCTAATATTAATCCATTCAATTGAATGGCAATGGGTGGAGAATGTTAGTCACAGTTAAAAAGCAATGCATCTCGTAAGATGGATGAAATTTTTTTTTTAATTTAATATTTAAGTTATATAGGAATAGGTTCTCTTCTTAGGGTATGGTTAAAGCACGGATGAAATTCTTTCATCCACATTTTCATCATTCTCAGTAGATATAACTGGTGCACAGTGTAATCACATATTTTCTGTTGGAAAAAACTTGCATGTCATGTTAAAATTCAAGAGTGATTGAACCTATGATTCTTGGATAATTCTGACTGATTATCAAGTTTCATAATCTTACCAACTACTTCATGATGATCAAATTTGTTCCTAGCTTTTGCTTATTGTAGTTATCTTTATTTTTTAGAATGATTTCTCAGGTCTAAAAGCCGATTGGCCCCATTTTTTGGCAATTTTTATCATGACAACTGGGACGTCTATTCTGAATCTAACTCTTTTGTTTGTTTCACCTTTAACTTTTTGTAAATTGCAGCTGGGATGTGAAAAAATGGAGGTGCTACGGGAGTGGAGGATAAAAAATAACAGTCATTGTGCTGGGGCACTATCGGCATCGGATACTCGAGGTTCATCTTCAATTTAACTTTGAGTTGCAGTACAGGTGCTAAATTGTGGAATTTCCAAGCACAACTTTTTCTTTTCCTGTGGAACCTAAACAAATTTTATGCCTTGCTTTAACGGTTAAGTCTGCACTTTCCCTTGATTTAGAGTTAGAATCTGCCTTGTCTTAGAAGTCACAGTTTTCTCACACTGCTTCAGATGCTAAGTTTTCAACACTGGAATTCATTATGGAGAATCAAGTTGGAATTTTCCACTCAAGGAAAAGGAAACATGATGCAGGGAAAAAAACAATCAAGTGACTTTGATTTTGAGAATTTTATTTAGAGCCTCTAAATTCAAATCATTAGGCAATGAAAAATTATTTCTTTTGCAAGTAAAATGCAATCGAATGCACTTGGTGGAGGAGTGTCAACTGTAGATTATGGACTAGGCACATATACCAAGACCAATATAACCCCACCTCAAGTCTTCAGGCCAATCAGCTTTGGTTCAGGCTTGTCCCAGTAGCAACTGATTGTTTATTCTCTTCTCTCTTTTTCCTTCTGGCCACCATAGCAACTACAATTCAGTCCACTTGTTCCTCAGTATCTTTTTGCTTGTGCACTCAGTACCGACTAGACGGTAAACAGTGTGATGTAATGAAGAGCTGTTGCATGTCGTTTCATATTATATTGTTCTGGAGTGAATGCAAAAAGCAAGCCATGAAGGAGCAAGATATCTGCTGCAGCCTGTTATGTTCTTAGTAGATTTTTTTTTGGAGTGAATGATATAACTTTATGTTATGACACTGTTCAGCAAAAAATCATCAAATATTTTGGTTTGTCTTGGCTTTTCACTCTTTAACCTTGACATTATCAACAATTAACCATAGTTTGTATTTTTCCTTGGGAGTCTAATATGGACTGGGCACTTCACTGTCAAACACCTTTCCAGTCCACGAGAAAGAGATTTTCAATAAATCAACCTTTTAACAAATATCTCAGTCTTTTCTTGCTTTTTATATCATACAAAGCCATATCATCAACAGCAAAGAAAATGTTAATATTGGTCTCTCACGTGAGATTAAATGGTTTATCAACTTAGTTTTGGACCACAAAATCTATGTTGATTACTTCTTCCCTCACCTCACTTTAACAGGAAGATGTGATCTCATCGCCTACCAAAGATACGTGTCTTGCATTTTCGCAATCAAGATATGAGTTGGAAGGAAATATCAGTAAAGAGGAAAAGCTTTGCCTCGAGATCCCTCTTCAGAATTGATGTGATGATTGATTTTGATGAAGGATTTAAAGGTTCTGTCATCAAATTTCAATATACCCCCACCCCCACTCCTGAATAAAAATGAAGATGGTAATGTGCAGATGGGTCTGGGTGCCCCAGTGATGGGATTTGTCAGGCTCGAGGAAGAACAAAAGGGGAGGAGACAAACAATCCAGTGTCCCACGAAATTTACCCTTAGCCATTTTTTTAAAATAAAAAGTTACGGATCTAAACATGACCATGTACGTTGGATAGGGTATGTTGGCAACTAACTTGAATGGGACAAAACCTCCAATGTTATTCCCCATTGTTCCAGTTACATGGACAATAACAGTATCATTACCCAACATCACAACAAAGATGAAAACTCTTGTATGAAAAATCGGTACTAGTAAGATATAGAAGGGAAAGTGAACATTAATTTTCCTTGGATGATTGGCCTAACTTTTCATTCAAACTACCTGTTCATCGTGTTTCACATTTCCCCAAGGTTTCTTTTAGGATTGTCAAGCATCTTCAACTTTTTTTTTTTGGGTTTGAAAATAATTGTCTGGCATCTATTCTGTTTTGTTTATGATTCATTCCCCGCTGCATAATCAAGAAAAGAAGATTTACTGTCATGAATTTCAGGTGATTCTATCTCTGGGGACATATGCACCCCATCATTCTACAAGCCTAACACAAAAACACTCCAATTTTGGGTACAAAGGTGCTTTTGAAAGAAAGAAATGGTTATTGAGGGTTAGCTTCAATCCTATCATTAGGGATAAAACCCTTTTGTTAAATATAATAACTTAACAACTAATCTCTATAATTTATTAGTCTCTAAACAATCATTAATCGACTTTAATTAGGCACTTAAACACTTGATATTGATAAAGCCCCAATACTCCATTATTATGGTCAATAAAATTTAAAAAAAAAAAAAGGTACCCCCAGATTGTGATGGCATCAGCAAATGGAGATCAAAGAAAAAAAAGGAGGATGCCCTATCACAACTCAATTTGACAAAAGGACACAATCGTCCCTACCAGAACCTAGTGTTTTCCCAAAAAAACCGTGGCAACTTTGGGAAGAGAACCCACTTTATTAGACGTCTGAATTATAGGGCACCAAACTAAATTAGTGGGCCTTTGGAGAGAAAAAAAAAAAAAAAAAGGGCACCCAAATTATTTCCCTAGAGTACTCCCAACAAAAGGAATCAAAATGATAACATAGAAAATCGCATATTGATATATTGACTTTCAGGAAACGGAGCGCCGGATAAAATAAATAAGGGATTATCTCTGTTTAAATCATAGTATTCGTATGGCCCCCACTCTTTCAAATTATACAAAACTTAGTTCCTAAGCAGAAAATATTAAATTGAAAGGAAATTTGAAATTGTTATATCATCCAAAACTGAAAAGAGAAGCAAATTATAAACAATTTTTTTTCTTACCTGGAAAATGACTTGTCGCCGGCACAGTAGAAATACAAATAAAAAGAAAAGAAATGCCATTAAAGGAAGGGATTCGGGCACCGATGTATACCTGACACCACCGAAAAAAAATTTTAATAATATAATTTTTCTCATTTTTAAAGTCTAGAAAAATTCCCCAAAAGGGAAGAACAACTAAAAATTACACATTTGGATTCCAAAGACCCCATAAACGAGAATTGAATAATCCTAACACGTCCGGTAACACCTTCCTAGCCAAACCCTTGTGGTTACTTGTTGTCGTCGCCGCCGCCGCCGCCGCCGCTGCCGCTGTCCGTACTTCCTCATCAGTATCCTCCGCTACGGGAAGCTCTTCGGTCACTTCTGCCACTTCAGCTACCTCTTCGTTAACATCGTTACCCGTTGAAATGACGTCATCAGTAAAAACCGGGGCTTCCTCGGTGGAACTCTCCAAGACAGGAGCTTCATAGTCGGGCTGACGCAGAACGTCAACAACCGGAGTATCGGGGACCTGAGTGGCCGTTTTGCCGCTACCATCCCTTCTTTGGGGCCGGCTTTTTTTCTTCGAAGGTTTCTTGGCTTCCCCGTTGGTTAAATGATCTTCAAAAGCTTCAATAACTTGATGGATAAGCTCACGGTTTAGAGAAGAGTCCCAGCGAAACCAATAACTCGTGTAACAATCAAAACATTCGCAATCGAAAACGGGTGGCTTATGGGAGGCAGCGCCACTCTTTTGGGTCAGATTGGCGGAGGTTGATGGTGGCTTCTTGGAAGATCTTTTCTTGGAAGAATAATCTTGAGAGATTAAAGAAGAGTTGGTGGTGGTGGTTTTGAGGGACCTGGTTATCATGTAAGCTAAAACTTCTCGATCCTCGAGAGAAAGGACTGAAGCAAGAGCCAAAATGGCAGCTGGTAGAAGTTTCAAAATGGAAAGGTAGTCTTCCCCAGAAGAAGAATAAGAAGAAGATGAAGAAGAAGGAGATGGGTATACCTTACCTTTGTTTTTGAGCTTCATGGTTCTTTGAGGCTGCTATGAAAGGGAAAGAAATGGGTAAAGGTTTAGAAAAGGGGATTTTATGGGACAAGGGAGAGAGGCTAAGAAGAGAAGAGGATACAGTGGTTGGTTAGGGTGTCCTTTAAAAATTGAAAAAAAAAAGTTGAAATTTTGGTTGGTTATTTGAGTTAATCTGCTTATCTTATTTTTATTTACTTGACAGACAAGGCAGTCAGAAGATACGTTGGGCAGAGACTAGAGGTGTCACGGTTCCGTGTTTTTCAGGTTTAATAATGACAATCTCTGTTTCACGCTCCTGCGCTTTGGCGCGTGTAAGTCAATCCGTTAAGTTTCCAAAAAAAACACTCTGTATTTGGTTAATTTTTTAGTTTTATTTCCTTTTTTTTTTTTTTCTTGATGAATAAGAAATCATGTAAAACAAAAACAATGCCATAAATACGTATTTTTAGCAAAAATACGGTAGTAAAATCAACCATAGTGAGAAATTCCAAGTTCTGTTAAATTTCAATTTCAACCCTTGGAATTGTAATTCTAAGTAAAGACCCAAGGAGGCAACCGGCCATGGACGAGTGGTGCAGTGAGTTTGGTCCGCACCGCTTTTTGGCATGGTACATGACATATTTGTAGAACAGTTTACGACCCTTTAGTTTTTAAAAATTGAAAAGGCCAGAACAATCTCTTTTACCGGAAGTAGGATATGTACTAAGCAACCGACCAACACCGCCGAGAGTCGCAGATATACTACTCCTTTTGTCTTTTTTTTTTTTTTTATGTTTTAAATTTACGTTTTTTTTTTAATATTTAATATTTTATTTTTTATGATTTTTTATTTTTTAATATTAAAAATCAAAATTTTAATTTTATAAAAAATATTAAAAATATTAAAATTAATTTTTTTTCTTAAATTTTATAAAAATTAATATATAATAAATATTTAAAAACGGAAAAAGTACCTCGACGGCATGAAAAAGCTAAACAATTTTCTATTCCTTTAGTTTAATCATGTATATTAGTCGAAGATGTGCTAGGTAAATTATTTTTTTCTTCTCAGAAGTAAACTCTATGGTTTAAGGTTATTATAATAATTAGTGTCCATTTGATATGATTGAATTCATTATATATTAGTAATTAAATTTAAATTTTAATTTTAATGAAATTTATTTAATATTATTTTTTATTAAATTTTTTTAATCATAATTATAATAATAATAATAATAATTTTTTATTTTCTCGTGATTAATCTTATTATCTATTTGAATAAAATTTAAATCTTAAAATTTTATGTCGGTAAGTAGTACTACATTTGACGTCAATAAGCATGTACGTGCAATGCAAGAATAAGATAATGCTGTTTGTGTTTACAATCCCAGATTTTTTTTTTAAAGATTTTTTATTTTTTGAGCATGAATTAATGGTGCATTAAATCAAATAGCTTTTTAATTACAAGGGCACTTTTTTTGGAAAAAAAATTATACATTCAATTATATGTAATATAATTATAAATTATGTCTTGCTAAACGATAAAAGTTGTGTATATGTACATAATACATTCAAACATTTAAAATTTTGTCATATTTACATAAATAGAAAAAAATTTCTCATTAATTGTAATTAAATAAAGTTTTCATTAAAATATGGTTTGGTATCATTTTTAAGATCATCACGATAATTTAATTATCGAAATGATTTTATTATAAAAGTGATTTTATCACTCGTGATTTAAAATTATTTTATTTGATCAAGAATTATTAATTCTTAGTAATTACATATCATTGTATTTGATATTACTAAAAATCAAACATTATTTAATTTGAAAGTATCAAAATAATCATGTATATTTAATAGTTACACAAGTTAATGATTTTAATGTTATTCAAAGTTAATAATCAATATATAAAATATTAGTAATATTTTTCATAATAAATATAATTAATTATTAAATTAAAACTATACTTATTAAGAGTAAATTAGTTTTTATAGTATAAAGTATGTAAAAAAATATTTGAATTAGAAAATAAAATTAATATATTAAAATCAAAAGATTATATTATATAAATTTTAAAAATTAAAAAAATAAATAAAATATTTGTGAACTTGTTATAATGAATATAAATATGAAATTATGAAATTATAATATAAAATAATTACAATCAATTTTAAGAAGAATCAAAATGTTAATTCACTTATTAAATTGTAATATTGACTATTATTAATTTTGCATATCACCTTACCTTAATAATAAAATTTTCTCATCACTTTGAGTGGAAATTAAATCATCTTACAAGATAGTAATTTAAGATCACTGTTACCTGAAGTCATTAAGTGGTTACTAAGCACGATGATTTAATAATTATATGTAAATTATCATGATTTTTTGAACAATCACTTCATACTAAATATTATATAAGATGAAAATCAAATATGATAGTATGATTAATTTTCTATGAACTCATCTCTAAGTTTGATTAATTTACTATTCTAATTTACAAGAGAAGAAAATAGTAGTTCGTTTATTCATAATGAAAAAAAATAGGTTTCCTAATACTAGTGCTTTCTTCCCAATAAAAACCAAAGATCAACCATGAAGATTGCTGAAAATACATATTGAAAAAGAAAAGAGTTGTCAATATCGGATTCATCCTACTAGTATTTAACTCCCATTAGACCTTTAAAAAAAAATGAAAGCAAATTATTGAAAATTAAACAAAACTTTAGCCATTGCTAAGTTCATATGTTGTGATTTAAAATGTAGACACCGCATTTTGTTTGAAAATTTTTTCAGAATAAAAAAAGAGCTTCAATCCTAAATGGGGCCCGATTGGGAAGCTTCAGGCTCAATAAAAAAAAATTTAATTTGATTTAATTTAATTTTTGGTTTAATTTTACTTTTTTCTCAAAGAAATAAAAAAAAAAGTCAAAAGGTTCAAAAAATAAGTAAAAAAAAAAGGAAGGTTAGGAAACCAAAAAGAAATGAACGGATTCGATTTTGAATAACCTTTTGATTTCAATCTGCATGAAAATAAAATGTCATAAGAAATTAAATCAAATCAAATCAATAAACTCCTTGACTAATTTGATTTAATTTCCAAATTTAAAAGGGATTTAATCCCTATAAGAATAAACCATCAACCATAAAGAAAGGGGATAGAAAAAAAATTTTAAAAATAATTAGAAGATTATGGATTTAGGTTTTCTAAATTCTTGGTATTCATTTTGGGATTTTTTTAGGGTTTTGATTCTTGTCTTCTAGGTTTTTATTTTTATATTTTTTTTGAAATTTTTTAAGGTTTTAGTTCTGAAATTTGAGGATAAATCCTTGGGTTTTGATTTTTGACTCTAATCCTTCGTTTTAGAAGATTCATTCTTATTTAGGAAGTCTAGGTGGATTTTATGTTGATTTGGAGTTTTGGATCTGTTTCTTAGGTTCTAGATGAATTTTGGTAATTTTTTGGAATTTTCTATGTTTAAAATTAAGTTTTGGGATTTTTTGGGTTTATATAAACTTTTTGGTGAAAGTATAAGTTTTTTTGTTAGGGTTATGGCTACTGAAAGGGCTTCACAATGGTCGAGTTTTAGGTTCATGCAATTTTTGGAAAATGACGAATTTTTCGATGGTTAGTTGAATTTTTCAACATCGGAATATGCTCATTTAGCCAGAAATTGGGGAACTTTGAGTTTTAAGGTTGAATATTTAGAAAGAAAGCAAAGAGATTTATTTTAGAAAAAGAAGGAGAAAATATTGTTCGAAAGAAAAGGCTAAAATTTTGGCTTTTATACAATACTGCAAACGATGTCGTTTTGGTAACGGATTGACCTATGTGAACCCGCGTAGATCCATGCCCTAACCTATCTGGCAACATGACTCGATTGTAGTTTTTTTTCTTTTTATTTTATTTTATTTTATTTTATTTTATTTCTTATTTTTTATTCTTTTTTTTTCCTTCCTTATTATTCTAATTGAGTGATTAGATTAACTATAAAAAAAGAAAATTGGTAAAATTATTTGTAATGTTTCTAGTTATCCTTTTACATGATTATTTATCTATTCCATGATTACATATTTAATTATATTCTTGCATGACATATTATATTATTGCATGATGATATTATTTTTGCATGATTAATATTATTACGTAATATATTATATTATTTTGCATGATAATTTTTGTTTTATTTTAATTGATTTATTTTCTTTCTTTCCTTCAAATTTTAAAAAGAATTTTCAAAATAAAAAATTTTTCTATCCTACCAAACTATTAGAATATTTAATTTTGAATTAAGTCTTATCAAATTATTAGAGGATTTAATGAATTTTTTTAAAAAATATTTTTAAAAAAATCCTACCAATATATTGAAAAATAATTCTTAATGAAAAATCCTACCAACATATTGGAAGATATTTTTAAAAATAAATTATTTTTTAATTAAATGAATCTGACGATAAAATATCTTCAAAGTGGGATACTAGTCTCTATAAATACTCTTGAGGTGAGAAAATTATCTTAAATTACTACCAAACTATTAAAATTATTGGAAGATTAATTTTTAATAATTAAATTATTTGGTAAAATTATAAAAATATCTTAAAACTTGGATAATTTGAAATCAAATCGGTACCATCTTTAGATCTGCATTGTGAAAGTGTTATAATCTTTCTCACGCATAATTATACTCTCAAACCTAAAACTAGTTTCGTAAACTAAAATATACTATTTAAAGATACTTAAGTAAATCTTGAGATTTTTCTTTAAATGGGATAAATTTAATTAGGTGACCAATCACACCTAAATAAAAAAGATTGGTGGCAATTTCACTGGGGAGATCAGGAGTTAGGCCAATAAATGATTTTTTGTTATTTAACCCATAATAAATTTAAGAAATTTTCTCTTTGTTTGTATTTTATTTATTTTATTTATTTTGTATATCTGTCATTCATTTACACATGCATAACATGAGCTCTATACTCGAGTTCTGTCCCTCAAGAAGAAGTAAAGTATCTATACCTTTGTGAGATTTCATGTTTTTACATAAGTTAGTAAAAAAACTTCCACTTAAATTGAACTCTTTCCACTTATAGCCTATAATGAGTAAAGATTGGAGTAATTTGAAATAAGGAGATTGACTTAGATTGCGAATTTGAAACAAGTAATTTAAGAATTATAATGGAT